TATGTTCATAGCATTATTCTTTGTAATAGCAAGAACCTGGAAGCAACCTAGATGCCCCTCAATTGAAGAATGGATAAAGAAGATGTGGCACATCTACCCAATGGAATACTACTCTGCAGAAAAAAATAATGGAATCTTGAAATTCACAGGCAAGTGGATGGCACTTGAAGAAACCATCCTGAAAGAGGTAACCCAGTCACAAAAAGAGGAACATGGTATGTACTCACTCATATATGGATTTTAGACATAGAGCAAAGGATCACCAGCCTATAATTCACACCACCAGGGGAAGTAGGATACAAGATGTATTCTAAGAGATTCATATGAAGTCCCTCACAGAACCGGTAAGGGACAAATCCCCCAGAGCACAGGGGAAGTGGGGGCGGCAGCGAATGGCGAGAGAAGTAGGAGAAAACGAGGGGGGAATAGAGGAAAGCACATGCGACTAGGAAGATTGAGTCAGGGTAGGAATAGAAGACAAAAGAGAGAGAGAGAGAGAAAGAGAGAGAGAGAGAGAGAGAGAGAGAGAGAACATAAAAGAGGGAGCCATTATTGGTTTGAAGAGAAAACTGAACCTAAAGAAAGGTCTAGAGACCTACAAGACTGCCGCCAACTAACAATTTAAGCAACCATGGAAAGGCTACCAAAAATGCCTTTCCCAGATAGTGAGATCAACAACTGAGTTATCCATGGAGCCCTCATCTAATACCTGTTGGAAACAGAAGCAAACACCCATATATCTGAACACTGAGTCGAACTAGAATCCAGATGAAGACAGAGAGGATAAGACCTGGTTGCAGAAACACATACAGACAGCTGACCTGAACAAGGAGGAGGTAATGGGCCCCAAGACTGATAGCTGGGAATCCAGCATGGGACTGACTCAGGCCCCCCTGAATATGGGTCTCAGCCAGAAGGACTGAGCAGTCTAAGGGACCTCAGACAGTGGAACGAGGATGTATCCCTGGTGATACCTTGCGAATACATCCTCCATGGAGGGATACTGCCTTAACCTAGAAACAGTAGAGCAGTCCTAGTCCCTACTTCAAGTGACCTGACAGATCTACATGACGCCACCCAGTTGGCATTACCCTACATGTGGAATTGGGGTGGGGGAATGGGAGGGGAAGGTGGTCAGAGTGCATGTGAGGGGGCAGAGAGGGTAATAGTGAGGGAGGGAGGAAGGGAGAGGGAACTGGGATGGACATGTAAAATAATAAATTAAATAAAAAAATATTATTATATTTAAAAAAACTGATATCAGAGAGGTGTCAGGGTTTGGGCTCCAAATTTCATCCCTGAGGCAGAGGTAGCAGCCACTTTTAAAGGGGAAACCCATAAACAGACAGCTCCTGAGTCCCATCCAAGCATAATGTAATATGGGGAGAAGCAGTTGGGCACTTTCCAAGGTGGCATGCTTTCCTCCTATCAGGTATTTCTGTGGTGTGGTGGTTTAGACAGGCTCTGGACCAACCAAATAAAAGGGTATAGAATGCTTGTGTTTTAAACTTATGTTAAGGATTAGGTGCAGCCTAGCCTTAGAAAATTATGGGTAGCAGCTCAGGGCAGAGTGGCAGACTGGAACAAAGTGAATTTCCTGCTGCTAACTAGGGTCCAACAGATTGATAAATACAAGCTCACGATAAATGTCTGGGGAAGGATTCAGTGTGGTTTCAGCAATAAAGTTTGCACAAAAGTCACCAGGCTATTTAACTACATCTGCCCCAAGTCTTAAGGCTAGAAAACAGGTTATGCATCCCTTCCTTTGAAGGAACACTGTATGCTTAACATCCTTGGTTCTCCTAGTGTTTATCTGGTAGCACAAGGACCTCTGTGCCTCCTACACCCCAGATAAAAGTTCCACTGTTCTACCCTTGAGAATATTTTGCCATGCTGATCATTGTCATGTTTCACAGATGCCAGAGTTGAGTAGGACTATTGTTCACTTTTGTCTATTGGAAGCTTGGATAGAATCTTTGGGCAAGGTATGATGGTGCACAGCTTTGATTCCAGCACTAGGAGGAAAAGACAGGTGGATCTCTCTGAGTTCAAGTCCAACTTGGTCTATCCATGAGTTCCAGGACAGATAGTTGCCTTTCAGTTCTGCTTTGATCCAGTATTTCCTCCCTTTTGGAATGGTTATATATATTCTGTGCAATTGTATGTTGAAAGAATGTGATTTGCTCTTTGATTTTATGGAGGATTGCAATAAAGTGATTGCTTTGAGTCTCAGAAGCAACTTTGGACTTTTTAAATTATGCTGAGACTGTGAAAGGCAATGGGAACATTTGGAGTTTGATATGTCCATTATTCTGTGTGGGAGAAAGGGCTTTGAAATGTGGTTGTTTAAATGAGAATGCCCTCATATGCTCATGTTTGAACACTGTTTGCCAGTCTGTTTGGGAAATGTCTTCATTAGGGTTTCTATTGCTGTGATAAAACAACATGACCAGAAGGTTTTTTTTTTTTTTTATTTAACTCACAGTTTCATATAACAGTTTATCAAAGGCAATGAGGGCAGGAACTAGAGCAAGCCAGGAATCTGGAGGCATGAGCTGATGCAGAGCCCATGGAAGGTTGCTGCTTACTGGCTTGTTCACCATGGCTTGATCAGGCTGCTTTCTTATAGAGTCCTGGACTTCCAGTCCAGGGATTATACCAACCACAACAACAATCACTAATTAAGAAATCTCTTACAGCTGGATTTTATGGAGGCATTCTCTTAATTGAGTTTCCCTCCTTTCAGACAACTCTAGCTTTTCTCAAGTTGACACACGACTAGACAGCACAGGAAGGATTAGGATGTGTGACCTTGTTGAAGGAGATGAAGTTTCAAAATCTGGTGGCATTGCGAGTGTGTTCTCTGCTTCCCATTTGTGGTTTGGTGATATGAGCTCTGAGCTGTTCCTGCTGCCATTCCTTCACTCTGTCATCCTGGACTTTAACCCTTTGAAACTGTAAGCCTCTTTAAACACTTTCTTTTTTTTAAGTTGCCTTGGTCATGGTGTTTTACATGGCTTACATACCATCTTCACCAACTAGAAGCAGGAATGTGTCTTGTATTCCTGCCGATTAGAAGCAGGACAGCTGCAATTCACATCATCTCATGACCCTCAAATCTGACCTATCATTTCCGATCGTGTGGAAGCCCACACACAATTACTTAAATATCTCAAAACCGTAATTCAGCTATCATAATGTGTAGTGAGTTTGAATGAGAATTACCTCTATATAGGCTCATACATTTGAATGGTCAGTCACCAAGGAGTGGCATATTTGAGAAGAATTAGAAGGATTAGGACGTATGACCTTGTTTAAGGAAGTGTGTAGTTGGGGATAGGCTTGAAGGTTTCAAATCCAGAGCCAGACACAGCATATCTCTCTTTCTTTCTCTCTTTCTCTCTGTCTCTCCCTCTCTACCTACTATGTATGGAACAGGATGTAGCTCTCAGTTACTGCTAGAAAGCCATGCATGCTTCAATGCTCCTTCCCTACTCCTGCCATGATCAAAATGAACTAATCCTCTGAAGCTGTAGCCACGCCCCTAATTAAATGCTCCCTTTTATAAGAGTTGCCTTTGTCATGCTGTCTCTTCACAGCAAGAGAATATTGACTAAAACATAATGTTACATTAAATGTATCCTCTCTCTGCTTGTGGACCAGGATGTGCTACTGCTCCAGTGACATGCATGATGTCACTGCTCCCTCCTTGTTCTCACCATGATGATAACAGACTAACCCTCTGAAACTACAAGCAAACCCCCAGTTAAAACTTCCATTTCTAGAATCGTGGTATTTCTTCACAGTAATAGAACAGTGACTAGAGCATACTATTATATTACATGCACACTCTCCTCCTGTTTTTTTTTTTTTTTTAATTTGAGACATTCCCACTGTATAATCCAGGCTGACCCCAAATTCTCCTTCCTCCTGCATCATCTTCTCTAGAGATGAAGTTTCAGACAAAGGGTACTATGTGCTCTTAGATTGATAGCTGTTACAATTAAAAGGACTGAGAAGCAGAAGCTTGATTGTAAAGTGGTTATTACTGCTAGAAGACCAGAGGAAGTAGGGTATAGACAGAGGGAGAACTCCAAATGTAATGCAGGCAACAACCGATCCTTTCTGAGTTTCCTTCCCTTCCTACCACAGGTTAGCCTTTTGGATGAAGAGACTCTGTTTGCTTGGTAAACCTTGGAAGAGTTGACAGCTAGCAACAAGTTCTCCCACTAGCAGCTTTTCTTTCCTCACTGAGAAAGAAATAATGGAGCAAAGCATCTTTCATTTAAGTCCTATTTCCTAAAACCCCATCCTCCACCTCAAAGCTCCACCTACCTGAACACCTGCAGCCTCTCTGCCACCCCTTGAACCTAGAGCATTTCGCACAGGGCAGAGGCATCTTGGGATAGCAGTGAATTCCTAGAGAGTAGCAGGGAATTCCAGGGTTTCCAGCACCCAGAGAGGAGACTAAAATAGGATGTGAAGCTTCCTTGTCACTAGATTCCTATGCAATTGGAGGTGGAGGAGGTTCTTTCTCTAAAGGGGTGGAGTGGGGCAGAATAGAACTCCTAGTTGGTAACTAAAAGGTTCTGTAATCAACTATCACTATCACGCTATTTAAAAAAGACTATCCTTCCTAAGGAAGGAAGAACGGGCTGATCTCAGCTAATTACCTGAACCAGCGACTTCAAAATCCTCCAAGAATATCCGAGAGTTACTACAGCCCTGGGCATGTGCGATGTGTGCCTCCTGCCATTGTTTGAGACTCCCTGCCAGCCCAACAGTGCTCTCCATCAGCTTAATGGAGGTGTGTGGACTGCTCTTCACTCTTTGCTGCCCGCTGGGACCTGGGATTTCACAGTGCAGAGAGCACTGACTGTTGAGTCCCAGGGAAACGGCAGGGCAAGGACCATCTATAGCAACCACGATGGGAGGAGGGAGGAGATGGCCAGCTAGAGAAAGGCAGTTGGGCCTAGCCCTGACGCAGCAGCAGCGGTGGAGGAGGCCCCCTCCAGAGATGCTGGGCGTCAGGCTCCAGCCTGTCCTCACCCTCCTCCAGCAGCGATCCCTTGGAGGGTCGTTGGTTCCAACCACCCTCAGCCTCAAGCCAAGGGAGGTGCCTCTGAGCTAGCTGCCGAAGGAGGCGGGGATTGGATTGTCTGAGGAGGAGAGGGAGGGACCGGCTCTCCTCGAGCTGGTGGCTGCAGGCGCCCTGGGTTGCCGCCGTCTCCAGGCGGAGCTGCACCCGGAGTCAGGTCTGTGTTGAGAGCGAGTGGATGTCCGCGTGGACTAGGGCCGCGCGGGCCCCGCGCCTCCTACGGCTCGCTCTCGCGTGCTGCTGTGTATGTTCGCTTCTTGTCACTGTGCGCCGAGAGGCAGGAGGACTATGAAAATGATTCACTTTCGGAGTTCCAGCATCAAATCGCTCAACCAGGAGATGAAATGCACCATTCGGCTGTTGGACGACTCGGAGGTCTCCTGCTATATCCAGGTGCGGTGACACCGGGGGAGGATGCAGGGCGTGCGGTATTTGCAGGGTACAGGAATGAGTAAGGGGTTTCTGAGGGTAGGCATGAGCTGGTGGGAAACCCACCTCTGCAGAGAAGCCTGGCTAGAGTGCTGGATTTGCTTCAGTCCTCGAGGTAGGGGCTTTGGCCCTTTGTAGTCATCTTCTTTGCATTATTCTTGCCTTAGCCCCCTACCCTGGCATGTACCCTGTGCTCACCTCGCGTTGCTCCTCAGCTGAGGCGGTAACCAGATGTTTCTTGCTTAAGGCTGCTTTGGTCTCTTTGAAGCCTATCCCATTGGGACACTGGAGCCATAAGAGCCAAGGGGGGCGTTTGTATGCTACCCCCCGCCACGGTTTCTTCCTCACCCACCACGTGGAAAAGGACTGTTTCCCGCGCCCAGGCCACTTGGGAGCCTGCTTCTTATGCCCTGCTGTCCCTCTGCCAGTAGTTTGTACTTCACTAGTTGGGCAATGGACTTCCCCAAGTTTCCTCGAAATCTTGGTCTTCAGCCTCGAAAGATGGGGTACATGTTATAATTGAATTGGAGCTACCTCAAAAGAAGGTAAAGTTTCTACTTCAAAGAAGACAAAAAGCTTCATGAAGCTAGCAAATGAGTCCTGCAGGAAGCTTGGAATTTTGGTGGCTATTCACTGTGGTCTACTTGGAAGAGAAGGGGTGTTGCTATTTTTAATGGTTGCTCCCTTCCTTGGGAGATAAATGTTTTTAGCCTTGCAAATATTTTGTAAGCTGCTGCTGCTGCTGCTGCTGCTGCTGCTGGAGGTGGTGGTGGTGGTGGTGGTGGTGGTGGTGGTGGTGGTGTGTGTGTGTGTGTGTGTGTGTGTGTGTGTGTGTGTACACACTTGTGTTTCCTTTAGCTGAGGTTGTTCCAGTAAGTAAGTAGGTGTGCACTTCTCCCATGACCGCATGTGGCATGCACATTCTGCAAACCTTGTATCAGAACTAAGCACTGCTGGCATCAGAGTTTAAAATTGAGTTAATTATTTCTAGGATCCCCTCTTCTGCTCTACTACCTCTTAAGGTTCTAAGACCCATGCCTGTGGGAAGTGAATGGATGAGCACCCCCTAAAGGCAGAAATCTGCCACTGAGTTGCACCAGATTTTTAAAAAGACATTTGTAATTAAAATGTAATTTCATCACTTACCCCCTTCTCTTTCCTCCCCTCAGCCACTTTCAAATCTCCACTCTCATACTTCTTCCATACTCCCCCAACTACACTCTCAAATTGATAGCCTCTGCTCTTTTATTATTATTGGGTTTTTTTTTTTGTTTGTTTTGTTTTGTCTTTTTGAGACAGGGTTCCTCTGAATTGTTTATTGTTGTTACGTGTACATAATTATATAAACACAATCTACCGAGTGTGTTTTTATTGTTTGTTTGTATATAGTTTCAGGGTTTCAGGGCTGCATTGGTTAACCAAGAAGGGGACTCATCTCTGGGAAAGACTTATTCTCCCTTTCTTCAGCATTCGTTAATTGCCCAAAGTTCTTTATATAGGGTGGGGCTCTGTGAAAATTTCCTCCTCAGTTAGTATGCTTATTGACATTGCTATTATCCATGTCTCGTTTGTCATTTCTATGAAAAACTGTTTCACAGCAGTCATCCTGGTATTACAATCTTTCTGCCGCCTCTCACACAGTGTTCCATGAGCCATAGATGCAGGACCCTTGAGGTATATGTATCCTCTGGGGCTGGACTTCCCTTGATCCTTGGTCTTTAAGTTGTGCCCAGCTATGATTTGATGTATGGTACCCATTTGCTGTAGAGAATCTTCTTGAGTTTCTGCCCTTCCCACAATGATGGACCCTTACCTGTAAGTGTAAGCAAAATAAATCCTTTCATCTTCAAGTTGAAACTCTTGTCTTGGAAGCTTTCATAGTATTTTCCAATACTATGGAAGCTAAACCACAGGAAGGATTTGAGGTCAGATCCAGCTTGAATATAAATAATCGGTGTCCTGTGTCCTAAGTGTGCAGTGTCTTCAGCCATAAGAGTTTACCTTCAATTTCTGAAAGGTTATAATAGCAACAGCTGTATTCTGTAGCATTTTAGGGAATCCCCTGGATTACCCTGACCAATGGGGAGGTTTCTCATACCTGACTCTGAGGCTTGGGTGGGTTTTGTCACCTTTCATTCCTTCTGCTTCTTTAATGACCCCTCCCTCTCCCATTCCCAGTTAGAGTCCCCCACTCCGTGTTTTGACATTCATTTTATTGCTCTTCTCCTTTCACTCACTCCTGCCCTGTGGTCCCATTTTGCTTTCCTGGTTTCAGTAGTTACTGCACATCACATACTTACTTCTGAAGATTTGGAGCTGGGGATGTCAAGGGATAGCTTGTGATGTCTTTCTTTCCAGATCTTGGTTATCTCACTCAATATAATCTTTCCTAGGTCCATCCATTTATCTTCAAATTTTATGACTTCATTTTTCGTTACAGCTGACTAGTATCCCACAGTGTACCTCATTTCCATTATTTATTGAAGGGCAATTAGATTGTCTGTTTCCTAGCTATCAGGAATAGTGAACACAGTTGAGTAAGTATGTATGGAGGATGATATCTTGTCCTTTGGACATATGCCAAGGAGTAGTATAGCCAGATAAATGGTAGATTTACTTTTTGTTTAGTTTGTTTTTTGTTTTTGCTATTTGTTTGTTTTGAGGATTTTCCATACCAATACTCAGAATGCCTGCACCAACTTGTATTCCCACCAATAGTGATGAGGGATCCCCCCTCCCCAGACTCACCAGCAGTTGTTGTCAGCTGATTGGTTAATGTTAGCCATTCTGATTGAGTGGGATGAGATGAAACCTCAAAGTTGCTTTAATTTGTATCTCTTTAACTGCTAAGCTGCTATGCTTGATACATTTTGGGGGGTTATTTCTTAGCCATTTTTAATTTCCTGTATTGAGAACTCTGTTTGGAACTCTAGGCCATTTTTTTTTAATTAGGTAATTTCTTTCCTAGACTCCTTATATTTTTAGTTATTTGTATATTCTAGATATTAAATCTCTTCCAGATGAATAGCTGGCAAAGATTGTACCTGGTCTCTGGAATTCTTCTTCACTCACATGATTATTTCCTTAGCTGTACAGAAACTTTTCAGTTTCATGAGCTATTGGTCATTGATTTTTTTTTTTTTATTTGAATTCCTAGAAAAAGGAAATCTCATTCATAAAGTCCTTTTTTTTTCCTGTAGCTATTGTTAGGAACTAGCAGCCAGCTGACCCCCTGCCCCAACGATGGGTGGGATGCTCATGGCCGTGTCATAGCTAGGTCAGCCTTACCTGGCTGCCAGGGGACTCAGTTAAGCATGTGCAAGCCCCCTTTTAAAGCAAGCGGGCCAAGTGCTTTGTTCTCTCTGGTCTGTCTCTGCTCTCTCTCTGGTTCCTCTCTCTGGTTCTCTCTTGCCCCCTCCCTGATCTCTCTCTCTCTCTCTCTCTCTCACTCACTCTCTCTCTGTCTCTCTCTCTCTCTCTCTCTCTCCTGCTTTCGGTTGGCCACCAACTACCCCCTCTTTCTCTCTCTTCTATCAATAATCTCCACGTGGGCGCTGAGTCTTGTATTTGTGTTTCTTAGGCATAAGCTGCAGCAAAAGAACAACAGCTATGGCGGCAGCCTACTACCAGGGTTTCCTTCTAGCAGTTTCAGCATGCCAGGTTTCAAATTGAGGTCTTTGAGTAACTTGAAGCTAATTTTTTTTTTTTTTTTTTGGTTCAGGGTGATATACACATAGGTCTAGTTTCATTTTCTACATGTGGATATCCACTTTCCCCAGCATCATTTGTGGAAGATGCTATCCTTTCTCTAGAGTGTATTGTCTTTAACTTCTTTGTTAAATATCAGATGGTAGTAGTTACGAGTACTCATGTTTGGGTCTTGTATTTTATTCCATTGGCCTATAGTCTGATTTTGTACCAATCCCATATTGCTTTTATCTCTTAATTCTATAATATATCTTGAAATCTGGAATGTCACTTCTTCCAGTATTACTCTTTTTGTTCAGGATTGCATTAGTATCTGGGTTCTTTTCTGTAAGGAGTAAGTTTTTTCTGCCAGCCCACCTGATCTCACTGCCATGCCAGTCCTAAATATCACACTGAGACACTGTATTTGATACAATGCTGTTGGCCAGTTACTAGTTTCTTTTAGGCTAGCTCTGTCTTAATTATTAACCCATTTCTATTAATCTAAGTACTTCCACGTGGTCTTATTTTACCAGAGAGAGAGAGGCCAGTGATCTGCTCTCTCCGTCTTCCCATGCTGACTCCTCCTTATTACTTCCTCTCTCCTCCTTGTCTCCTAGTCCCGCCTATCTTGCTTTCCTATTGGCCAACAGTGCTTTATTCATTAACCAATATGTAAAGAGTATGGTTTTTCCTCCTGCCGCTGGTCTTGTCCCACAGCTGCGCCAGCCCCAAATAACGCACTGAGACACTGTATTTGATATAATGCTGTTGGCCAGTTACTTGTTTCTTATCGGCTAGCTCTGTCTAAGTATTAACTCATTTCTGTTAATCTATGTATTTCCATGTGGTCTCATCTTACCAAAGAGCTGACTGGCGTCCTGCTCTCTCCAGACTCTCCATGTTGACTCCTCCATACTACTTCCTCGAATCCTCCTTGTCTCCTAGTCCTGCTCATCTTGCTTTCTTATTGGCCAACAATGTTTTATTCACTATCCAGTATGAGAAACATATTTACAGAATGATATCTCCCATCACTTTTCCATTTCCACTTGAATTATAGGATGTATTTTTATACTTATGTCCATAATGTTAAGGATATTTTGACTGGGATTGCATGTTGCTTTTGATAGGATTCTATCTATCCAGCATGATGTGTTTTCAGTTTCTACTGTCTTGCTTAGTCTTTTTCTTCAGAGATTGAAGTTTTAATTTTAGAGGCCTTTTAACTCATTGACCTTGGCTTATTCCAAGTTATTGCATTGTTTTTGATGCTA